AACAAGAAGGCTTCTCTCGTCCTAATCCCCAACGACGTTGACCCCATTGAGCTGGTCATTTTCCTGCCCGCTCTTTGCCGCAAGATGGGCGTCCCCTTCGCCATTATCAAGGGCAAGGCTCGTCTCGGTACCGTTGTTCACAAGAAGGTAAGCAAATTCCGAATCGTGGTTGCTAAGATGCTGATCAAGGGCAGACCGCTGCTGTCCTCGCTCTCACCGAGGTTCGCTCTGAGGACAAGAACGAGCTGTCTAAGCTCGTCTCTGCCATCAAGGATGGCTACATCGAGAAGACCGAGCAGGCGAGAAAGCAGTGGGGTGGTGGTATCATGGGTGCCAAGGCACAGAAGCGCACCGAGAAGAAGAGGAAGGCGCTTGAGACCGCTATCAAGGTCTAAGAAGGACAAATACCCGGACTGCTTTTAGTGCATTAGGAGACTAGGCCACTCGAGGTTATCGGATTACAAAAATTTGGCATGGCGTCGGGATGACTATTCATTTGGGTTTCGGTTCACGCTTCAGGTTTCCCTTCGCATCTAGCTCTGAGGACCGAAAAATGTGTGTCGTGTCCTGACCAGATTCCAGTTCGGGACGCAGATGATCATGCTCGTCCATCAGATGTGCCCACGCGTACGTGTACTAGCATCACCTAGCGCAAGCAGTAATCCGAGCCGAATTTTGTGTATCCGAACTTGTCCGGTTGTCGGCGGGATCTCCGCCTGTAAAAGAGATGACGTGAATCAATCAGCTCATTATTACAGCTTCATAACTGGTGCATATGGGCGACAGTCAACGAGAAAACATTGTACTGCTACGTATTGTGGCGCAACTCTCTTTGGAGGTTAGTCGGCGGCAGGGTTACAGCCGCACGAAGAAACTGTCTGCTCGTAGAAGATCCCCTACTATGCACATACGGCTTCAGCTAAGGATTTGGGTACGCCTCGCCACCGAAACCTTTTTTTTTTTTTTTCTTGTCCGATTCTGTCCTATGTCCTCTATGTCGATACACTGCCTGTTCCGACGGATATTCGTAGCACAAGTTCAGAAATGGGCACGAACTTGGCTCCTCCTCACTATCGCTCATGTTGTGTACCATGACAACCGAGTAGGCATGCTCTGTGTTTTTGCTAATTTGGCCAAACTTCCCCGAGGACGGGATGATTGCGCTGACAGTGACAGCTTGAACTTGGCCAGTTACCTACATGCCTACGCACTGCGGGGAAGGTTCTTCATATACTACTCTTCTCGCTCTTCTGCAATCCTGGTATGTCGTAATTTGAGGCAGATCATCCTTGTCCACGACCCCTGTCGACGCACTGTCCGGCTAGATTTGAGCGTGTCTAAACTAGGAAAAGCGGTGCACGGGACTGGCGGGGCAGACAAGCTCACGGCACATGGAGGGACCACAGGTGGCAGAATGTAGTAGGAGTATGTATATAGCAATAGGAAGCAAGACCAAAATTTGAGGGGGGAAGGAAGAGAAGAGGCTGGAGCACCATGCTGCATTGGAAGCGCACAAATTCTATTATGGTTGCCTCTTTAACCTGGTAGCGTTGGCACTTCCAGATGTACCGTTTCAGGGTGGGGGAGGCCCCTAGCCCGGCTGTACGTCCGCTACTCTGATCAGTCACCGTATGCTTCAAGTAGGTTACTGAGCATCCATGGATGGGTTAGGTTCAATGCTTGTGGCCCACGTCTGCCTGTGTCGAAGATCAAGTCCGTCGTTGTGTGCAGGCCAAATGCGAGCCGAGCGGTCAGCCGCCCTCTGGTCGACAGACATTCAAACCTGGGGTGGCAATCACATATACGAAAGGTTTGCATGCAAGCCGACCGTGGCTTTTGACGACCAGAACGAGCACGCACTTGACTTGTATCCGAGCTGCTGTCTGGGGATGGTACTCGACCGAAGGACGTCGGCGGAGGAGCGGAGAGACAAGATGAGATCCAAGGCATGAGGAGGATACGGAGCAGCAATGCTGGGATAGCACAGCTTCTGCTCGTGCTAAGGTGTCTTGAGCGACTCGTCGAGTCTTGGCTCCGTTTGAATCTGCGTCTAAAAGAAGTATGCCCATCCCCTGTTGCATCTATTGTTGCTGCGGCCATTTGAGGGCGAAGACAGCTAGGTTCCTTGCGGTTCGCTATCTTTATAGTTAGCTACACGGAGTGACATTCTCTAGTTATATTATCTGCATGCCCCCTCCCCTCCCCGTCCTTCCTCACCCAAAGCCTTCGGCGAACGCATCACTCTTCCTCATCTTCGCGACTATTGTGTGGTAACATCTTGCTATTTTCTGCAGGATCTGTCCTCATCGCTTTGGAAGCGCTTTCTGGCAAAGGCGCTTCTCCTTGCCTCAGTTCATCCATTAGGTTTGTTCTGCCTGTCTCAACCGATCTCCTCTCATTGGATCACCACTCAGTCGGTCCGCCCCCTCTTCCCCAACATCCCACGTTCGGCTGCATGTCTCTGCCCATCTTGATGCAAGTTCCTACTCTCAGAGCAGCCGGCTACCATCCCTTTGCATGCCACATGAGTGATCACTTACACACGCACGCTGTATTATACACAATGCCTCCTCCTGACCACCCGCCCTCCCATCCCCTCCGCTCATCCAACCTGCTGTGACGCCCACCCTCCTTCGGTCCCTCCGCCGAAGACTCGGAATTGAATGGCAGACGCTGATTATCCCAGTCCAACCTTGCAGCTTTCCAGTAAGTGGAACGACGATTTCACGAGAAATCTCCAGGTCACACCACGGCGCTCGGCATCCGCCACAACTCGCAGCCCCGTTATATCTCGACCTCCTTCCCGACTATCCGCGTCCCATAGTTTGGCTAGCACCGGCTATGTGAGAGTCGCCTAGCCTGCTCCAACGCCAAACCGCAGGATTTCCAGTTGTTGCGACCGGGAATTCACTGCCCCAGAACCCCTTTCATGCGTGAGCTTCTCTCGACTCCGGTGTGAGAGACTGAGTCCAACATCTGGAGACCGGCCCGGTTATCTTCCATTCCCCGAGAGATATCTAAGCAAGTGGTTCTCAAAATCACTCAGTCGAGAAAGGAGTACAGCTTTGCAGGTCTCAGCTAGCACTCGGAGGACGGAAACCATCTTACTATCCATCCTCACCAGCTCTGCATCTGCCTCTTCGGGTCTTCACTGCTCCCATCGTGCTTGGGTCTTTCTACAGCACTTTCTATCACTTTCTGCTCTTATTCAATCGCTGAGGCCTCAAGGATTTAGTCACCATGGCGTTCCAGGACCGTAAGTGCTGTCGATGCGAGCAATCGAGCAAAATAGGCGCCATCACTGGGAGCTAACACGGCTTGTCGGATGCAGAGAACAAGTTTCTATACGCGCTGAGCTCCAACCAAGCTTGGGCTGGATATAAGTCGCACCAGAACCCAGCCTTTTTCAAAAACTTGGCAACAGGGCAGTCCCCTTCTATCCGTAGGTTCTCCCTTGCTGTATCCTTCATTGTCTGCTCCTATCTCCCCCTCTTCCTCGTCTAGCTAGAAGACTCCAACCCGGCGTTCTACTGGTGCTGTTCCATTTTGCTAGCTGACATGCGATGGACAGTGTGGTTGGGATGTTCCGACTCAAGGGTTCCGGAAACGACGATTCTTGGTCTGCAGCCAGGAGATGTCTTCGTCCACCGTAATATAGCGAATATCGTTGCCCCGACGGACATCAATACCTCAGCCGTCATTGAGTATGCCGTCACACATCTCAAAGTCAAACATGTCGTTCTCTGTGGTCATTCGGCGTGTGGTGGTGCCAAGGCGGCATTGGGCGATTCCCGCGTTGGAGGTGTGCTCGACACATGGTTGACACCGCTGAAGGCCGTGCGGGCTCAGAATATCGAAGAACTTGCCGCTATCAAAGATGAAGACATACGCGCCATCCGCATTGCCGAAATGAATGTCGAAGCTGGCGTCCGAGTTCTGATGGCCAACTTCGCTATTCAAGAGGCAGTAAAGGAGCGTGGTCTTACAGTTCACGGATGTCTTTTTGACATTGCCAGTGGCCGGATCAGAGATTTAGGGTTTGGCACACGTGGCGTAGAGGGGAGAGGCATGATTGCGAAAGGCGACGAGGACATTGTTCGCGGAAAACATGCTCAGCTGGTTTTCCGCGATGGAGACGCCTCAATGCAAGTGCAATGAAACAGAACAAGAGAAAATGGAGGGCAGCAGGGCGTATATACTGCATAAATGAGATGTCAAAGTCGTTTCTCTCAGCCTTCTTTCGTTTGGCAACACCCGCGGGGAGGACATGTCGTTACTTGAGAGACCGCCTAATTTTCCCGTGTCTGCGCGGCTAGATTTGCCGTGTGCTCTATACCGGTAGATTTTAAGACGGCGTTGAACGAGGACAACAATGAGTTACAACGATCAGGGACGACGAAGAGAACGATTACAACGACGGGAAAAATATTGAAAATAATGAGGATCGAGACGATTAAAGACGACAACGACGACAACGGCGACAACGACGACAACGACGACAACAACAATGATAGCGAGCACAGGGGACTAAATAGTCCCTCGAGCGCTCTTTGGTGTTTTACTTTTGGCTGTGTTTGGAGGGTAGGAGACCCATGAGCGGATGCTCCAGCACGCAAACGACATGAAGAGGACGAACCATATCGCGTGAACCGACTCAAGAAAGCTGGGTGAAAGAACACGTCACGTCGAAGGAAGCGTGCGGTGTTGTTTGACTTGGAAGCTCGACCACTATAGATGAGCAGTTCAAAAGAAGCGTGTTTGATTTCTAAACGGCTGGCAACTTGTCGGCATGCGCGTCTTAGCCCCATGCACGGGAAGGAAAACACAAAACAAAGAGGACCGTAGGAGTGTCATGTCCTATATCTACCCATACGTAGACACCATCGAGGTGGTGAGACCCTCGTCAAGTCGTCTCTGCCGTTGCCAGTACGCGTCTTCTCCGCGACTTGCATTTCATGCTCAAACATAGAGCGCATGTATCTCGTCACTGTTCAAGCTGTCTAACCGTAGACCAGCTTGAAAAGGTCGTTGAAAACGAAGTAGTTACCAGTGGGATCGCGCATCAGCTGGAATGCCTGGGTGTAGTTCATGGGGCGTTGCTCCTCGTCCACCTTTATGGTCAGCAGTTAGCTAGCTGGCTCAAGCCAAAGACAAGAATCGCGTGCTTACCAAGAGCTGTCCGGTTACGAGGATGACGATGCCGCCTTCGAGCGAGGGCTGTGCGTCGAGCGTGGAGACCTGGTGCTTGACCTTCTCAAAAGGAAGGGACTGCGAGGTGAAAGAGTGAGTGATCAGGTTGCATCGGGGAGCTGCAGAGGCTCGAGGACACTCGCGCGAGCAAAACATACCGAAAGCTTCTCGACAATGGCGTTGGCGCCCAACACAGAAGCGGACTCGAAAGTCAGCATGGACTGGTCGCGCTGTTGCTACCATTAGCTTCGAGGGGTCGAACGACCGATTGAAGAAGCAGAATATCTCACGTAGAGGCTGGCGAGTCCTTTGCGGTCTGAGTCGAACTGGTTGTAGTAGAACTCGATGAACTGCTCTGTTGATTTGACGAGGCTGATCAGTTTTCTGGCCGATTCAGGTCGGGCGTTGCGAGCTCCAGATCAGACTCATGACCGACCAGGAAGAAAACCTACTTGCGACCTCTTCGAAATCTGCATCGTCCCTGTTAGCTACTTGCCGTAATGTTGGAAGACACCGTGCGATGGGAGAAAGCAATGGATTGAAGCTTGCGGGCGCATCGCAGCGCATTAAATCGAGCGCGCAAAGCTTGGAACCCACAGGGCAACGGGACTAGGCGCGGGGGGGGGGGGGGGGGGGAAGTTTCTTACTAGAAGCCATTTTGTCCGATTCCGTGGGAAGCCAAATACGTAAGGTAGGTTGACAATCGAAGCCAGGGTCGAAAGACGTTTGTGTACGACGAGACTTGTGGTTCACTTTTTGGTGGTGGGAGCTATCGTCAGGCTGGAAGAAGAGGGGTGAGTCTGCCGTTGGTGGTGGGTGAGGAGAGGGGAACGGATACATAGTTACTTACAGGGGCCTGAAGCTGCGCAGAGGACTGTAGACAAGAAGTGTGTGCCCTCACCGCGTGGATTCGCTGCGATGGCACCGCTGGAAACTGCCTTTTGAGGTACCTACCTCACTTACCTACCTACGGCTAGGCCGCAGGTGGTAGGGCAGAACATTACTAGGTAACCTAAGAAGTATTGGATGTAGGTACCACCAGGTACCTAAGGTAGGTATACAATGCGCCCCATCAGCAGGTTTAGGCCGAAGCTCGTGTTGTGTCTTTGGCGCGGTTGGCAACGACACCCTAATTAGGCCGGAATGACGCACTGTGAGGGCACTCCTCCGCGATATGCGATTGAGATGAGCACTCGTATAGATGCATGTGTTATGCAACACTCAAAAGATGTCGCTTGGTCGTGTGGGTCATTCAAGGCTGGGCCTTCCTCCAGCTACAAATTTTCTCCGTGGACTTGCTGGTCAAGACGACTTTCTTTCCTCACTCAACGTACACAGCCAAGTAGCACAATGTCGCAAATCATTCAATTTGAGGCTGGGCTTGGAGCTTATGTTTTTCTTGCTCATGGCTGCACTAATCAACGTTTCAGCTGTTTCTAGCCATTTCTCGGTTGGAAATTTTTGCTCATCACACTAGGTAAGCATGATTTTTTTCATGTCTCCTGTTCTCCTGCCTCCCGCAGCCCGCTACGATGATGATTATCTCTTCTTAAGAACGGCCAACTGAATTACAATGTTGATCCAAACTATATCAAGCTCAACAGTCTGACTGTAGCTATCTTGCTTTGTTTTGAGAAAGTTGCCTGCTTGGACAAGATGTGCTGACGATACAAAGACAGTTTGCAGACATAACACAAGAAGTCAAAGTTGGCGGGGCGAGTGAGGAAACCTCACTGTCACTGCATGCGGCAGCAGTGTTTGCGTAGCCTTCCTCATACATTTGCTAGATCATATATTCCAATGCCATTTTTCTTGTGTCAATCAGTGCCGTAAACGTTTCCTCTAATTCGTCTGCAAATGCAATGAACTCACGCCTTGTTTCTGTGGGATGCTCTTGACCGCAGCGCCTCCGCGAATGTAACAAAGAAGAAGCCGGGGCAAGCATAAAAGCCGCTCGTAGACGCGTACCAATGTGACCAAAACAAATGCCCCGTACTCGAGGGGCTTACGCAAAGGACTGCGTTATATCCTCGTTAGACACGGTCTTCACATGTAAATACGTGTATTCGCGGACTCTGAAGGCTAACAGCTTCCATGTCGGTTTGACACTCTAATTGCCAGCGCAGCCATCCAATGGGCCTGACATGGTTGGGCCAAAGCAAGCCAACTGGCACTGCACCCTTCTCTAATCTGCCAGTATTCGCCATTTGACGATCCATTCGCCATCTATACGATACAATTCTTGACCTTCTTTGTGTAGCCAAGTTTGGTCCTTCGACGACTGGCATCGGTTCTCGGCGCATCCCTTTTGGGTACAGGCGAGGCCGTGTCGTCTACAGCCTTGTACGTCCTTCGATCCGAGGCAGTGCGCTTCACAGCTCCTCCTCTTCGTCCTTTTCAGTCGAGGCGGGCGGTACTGTCGTCTGTGCTGGTGCTTGCTTCAAGATTTCACCGAATCCGGGGTTAGATCCAGGCGGCAACAATCCCGCCGATTCATTTCCCGCGTTGATGCTAGGGCGGTGCTTCTTCAATGGGCTACCAATGGTCGATCGCACCGACTCATCAGTGCCTGTTGCCACTTGACCATCGCCGCTGGTGGCCGTCGTCGCAGAAGAGAGGCCAGCGAGACTAGAAGAGGCATGGTTGCCTCCAGCACCCGCAGACACAGAGCGGTCCGGCTCAGCTGAGTGTGCCCTCTTCAGCTATTCATACTTCGTTAATGGACCGAAGTGAAAGTCATGACCAAACAAGTACTCACATGAATGCGATTTACGCCGTCGGCAAGCTCCCCCTGAAATTTAACATCCTCAGGGGCGAGTTTATTATCCACATCCTTTTCATCGATATCTTGCATCTTTCCAATGAGCTCGTTCTCGTCGTCTTCATCGTCGCTGTCGTCGTTGAGAGCTCCTCCGACATTGCCGTTGCTCTTCTTGCGAGCCTTCCGTCTTTTGGCGGCCTCCGTGTCTTGGTCTCTGAAAGCAGAGAAACCAACGGTACCCGAGGGGTTGAGAGGGCCCAAGTTGGAGAAATCCAACTGCCCTGACCGCCTCTTGACTGAACCCGGCGTTGTCTGTGCTGCCTTGGAGGAGGCAATGATGCCTATCTTTTGCAATTGGCCTAGGAAGGATTAGCAATTCATGGACCAAGACTGAGAGCCACCAAGGCATGACGCTCAATGCAGGACGGGGTGTTATTACGTTCTCCGCGGTAAAAGAAAGTGAAGGAAGCGTAAGGCTTGTCCGGGCCGTCGATTCCCGTCACAGTTTGCGTGCTGATGGTTTTGGGGTCCAACGTCTTGGGTTTGGCAAAGCTCGTCGTGTGCTCAACGTCTGCATCAACGCCTGATTTTCCATTGCCCTGATTCGAGGCGTCGGCGTCGTCGTCATCGTCATGAGCGTCGAATTGTGGTGAATATTCACCCTTCTTGATCTCGCCGGAGGCCAGTACCCGAAACATGAGCACTTTGATTTGTCCAGTCGCCTCCGGGATTTCGTCGTCATCAGACAGGGAATCAGAATCGTCTTCGCCAAACACAGCTTCGACGGGGGAGCCGTCATCAGCGCCATACCGAAGGGTATCTCGAGGTCCGTTGGGCCCTTCCTCCATCTGCATACCAGGAGACCCGGTTGCTGCCTTTTGACGCCGACGGCGTTTCTCAAACTTTTGCCGGCGACGCTCCAACTTCTCGGCTGCATCATGGCCTTGGAGGTCCAAGCCATTTAGCCAACGCTCCAGTCCAACTTCGCGAAAGAGGAACTCTCGCTCCGCCAAACCGCCGCCCTCGGAGTCGGGAACCTGTACCCAGCGACTGTTCACCCATGTTTCCTCGCCCGGCCTCAGCAGCGTTGCAACCTCTTCCTTAGTTCTGCCATCAAAATAGATGTACGCTGCTATCGTTTCGTTCTCGGAGTTGGTCATGGGTATGTATGGGTTGACGACGCCGGAAAACTTTGACGGCCCATGGGCGACGGTTGGCAGACCGCCGACGAACTGGGGCTTCGGGTAAGGGTTGCTTTCGTTGGGCTTCGGTGTCGAGTAGGGGATGGGCAGGCCTGGTGTCAGGAGAGTGATGGAAATGGCGAACTTTGCGGGCTCCGGTTTGTTGGATTCGGGGTTGATGTTTGGCTGTGGAACGGGAATGTAGGTGCTGATGCGGGACAAGCGCGACTGCTTCTGCATGCCATACTCGGGGAGAGGTGCGCCGTTTGCGTGTATGCTCACGGCGATGCCCTTGAAGCAGGGCATGTTTGAGGGGGAGATCGGTCGCGTCTGGGCAACGTAATCAGTTGCAAGCAGATATCGGTCAAGGCTGTCGTTATTGTTCGGACAGCAGATTGCGCCAGCGGGGTTCGGTCGTTCGATGGATTTGGACGTCGGCGTGAGGGGCAAGAAGCTGAGGCTCGCAAGAGAATGAAATGCGAAGAACGGAGGAGAATAAAGGGTAAAGATAGGAAGCAAGAGCCGAAGCAAGAATGACCGCCACAACCAAAGCGTGAGTAGAGACTGCCCTAGGTCGAGGCGGGAGGATATGGTTGAAGTTTGCTTAGCCCTCACCGTCTCTCGGTTCGTTGGCTTGGGTCCTGAGTGGGCCTGGCAGGCTATGGGACTTTGAACGGAGGGGCCTAGAAGTAAGTGGTGTGCATGATGCCCCCGGCGGCTGGGGTCGAAGGCAGTTCAATCTGGTTGACGTTGTCAGCGACCACACATAATATCAAGGAGGGCAAATGATGAGGCTGAGAGAAGGTTGTGGCTACTTTGGTCGACACAAGGACAAGGCTTCTTCTTTGTGATAGCAGTGGCAGGACTGGCGGCGGTGTGTGAGGGGTGCGGTGCGGGCAAGGCGGGTGAAGAGGCAATTGAGCTGGATACGTAGCAGAGCAGTGTAGTGAGCTTCGGCGCTGTTAGTACGTCAAGTACCTCAGCCAGGCTTGGTTTTCTAAGTACGTAGGTACGTAAGTAGCAAGATCCCAGGTACGACCGGCAAGGAAAGGCGGAGCAGAGCTCAGGTAGGATGAGATGCGAGAGATAATGGAAGAAATCCAGCATAAAAGAGACTCTTTTTTTTTTCTCTCTCTCAAGAAAAAGAGAGGGTCAACGAAGAAGAAGGACTACACAGGCCAAATTCGCATCCTGTCGTGCGGTGTGAAGCAGTGCGGTGAGTGAGTGGTTTAAGAGGGTAGGTACGCTAAGGTAGCGAAGCACACTGCAGCGGGTGGAGCTCCTGGAGAAAACAGTAAGGAGGGTGGAGGGGCTGGACCACGGTGCACTAAGGTACTGACGTGGTTTGGGACGGGCGGGCAAATCAAAGTGGATCAGTCTTATTACCTAAGCCGGGACCTAAGCTCAGCTGCAACCGCATCAAATTCTCGCCGGCGTCTAGCAGCCGCGGGGGCCGTGTGATGGTGAAAACAAGCGAAGACCAAGAATGAAGGTGCCCACCACGAACATCAAAACCTCATACCCCACCATCCACCGTCCACATCCCGCTAATAAAACTGCTAGCGGTTGTGGGACGACCTACGTCGAACGCTACCCGATCCTCCCTCGCTATAACTTGTCCCTATGCCCGAATCACCCTTGAAACTTGCCCGTCCGTCGTCTTCTTCTTCATCGTCAGCTTCACCTCCGAGTGGGACGAGGTCCTCCATCCGAAG